GGAAAGGTCTGCTGCTAACCTTAACTGTCTACTCTTGTAGGTTAAGGACCTTTTGTCCCTAGCTGCTTTCAGAATTATCTCTTTACCTTTGTACTTTGCAGGTATCACTATGATATGCCTTGGTGTTGTTGACCTGTTTTTGCTGACTTTGAGGGGAGTTCTCTGTGCACTCTTGGACTTGAATGACTGTTTCCTTCCCCATATTAGGGAAGTTCTCAGTTATAATTTGTTCAAATAGACCTTCTACCCCCTTTTCCCTCTCTTCTAGGACTCCTATGATATGGATATTATTGCACTTTGTGAAACCGCTGAGTTCCCTAAGTCTATATTTGTGATCTAATAGTTTTCTTTCCCTCTTTTCAGCTTATTTTCCATGATTTTATCTTCTATATCACCTATTTGTTCCTCTGCCTCTTCCATCCTTGTTGTGATTACATCCAGTCAATTTTGCATCTCAGTTACAGCATTTTTTATTTCGGCCTGACTAGTTTTTAGGTCTTTTATCTCTGCAGGCAGGGTTTCTCTAGTGTCTTCTATGCTTCTTTCAAGCCCAGCTAGTATTATGACTGTTGTTCTTAATTCTTGTTCAGATATATTGCTTATACCTGTTTTGAGCAACCCCCTGGCTGTGGTTTCTTCTTGATCTTTTTTTCGGGGAGAATTTGTCCATCTTATCATTATGTCTAGGTTTCTGTCTTTTGCATGTTATGAAAGCTTGTTAGTTTCCTGCTTCTGAGAGTAATACTATATTATGAAGTGGTCATACACTGTTCAGGGCCTGGTGCTTCAGGAAGTATTTCTGGTGTATGTTGTGTGTACTCTGCTGCTTGTTTTGGCTGCTCTTTCCCACAGGCCAGTCCCCTGTAGAGTTCCTCCTTGCTTGCAATGGGGCGTGTTTGGACCTTTAGTTGTTGTACTTGGGTCTGTTTATTAAGATAGGCCTAATAAGAAAGAAAGAAAAAAAAAGCCCAATCTAAGAAAAAAGGAAAAGGAACAAGTAAGCAAACGAACAAACAAATCAAAACGTATATGCCTGATTCCAAAGAAAAATAAATTAGGGGGAAAAAAAAAGCCTGATCCAAAAAACTAGAAAAAGAAATAAGCCAACAAATGAACAAAAAACTATAAGCCTGATGCCAAAGAGGAAAAAATATATAAAAAATAAAAATAAAAAAATAATGGGGGGGTGGAGCTAAACTGAGCTTTGGAGCACTCCACAGTCAGTAGCCTTGATGCATGGGAGGGCCTGTGTTGGTCTTCTGAGAGAGAGGCCTGCTGCACTGGCTAACAGTCAGACATGCCTCTGTAAAGATTCCCCTGCCAGTGCACTGGGGCGGGTGTGTGTGTGTGTGTGTGTGTGTGTGTGTGTGTGTGTGTGTGCAGAGTTTGGTGTAAGTGACTCCAGGGGTTGTGTTCTGTCTGAAGTCTGACTATGCTGGTGGGCAGGGAGGATGGTGTCAACCCGCCCTCTCAACAGGGGGACGGAAACTCGAGGCTGCTGCTGTTCAGGAGACCCTCACAGAAAAGTGAATGATCTTTTCTTCTATGTCCCAGGCTTTCATCAGAACCCTGCCTTCAGCCTATCTGTGCCTGGCCATTGGCCCGCCCAAGGCTAATTCTCCAGTGTTTTATCTCTGGCTGGCAGCTGGGATTCAAAACAACAAGTCTTAAAGTATCTGGTGGCATGTGAACCCACTCCCTTCCCCTGAAAGAGTCTTGCAGTGCTGTGCCTGACACCTTTTTGTCCCAGAAAAGCAGCTGCATGCCTGTATGAGTGCCCAGAGTCTATGCTGAAACACAGCAAAAAGCCACAACCAGGTTATCTGCCGTCTGTGGGTGCCTCTGTCCCCTGCTGTTGAATGGCGGTTCAAAACTGCCTGGCAGGTTTCTGTCCTTGGAAAGGCAAAATACCATCTTCCAAATGCACTCCAGGAAGGGGAATATTCACTTCCCCAGCGACCCAGGATATCCCCACACCACCGAGCCTTGCTCCAACCCTCCATCCCTGACTGCTCTATGAGAAGGGTTCCCACCACTCCGTAGTACTGCAGCTTTTCTCTCTCCCAAGTCACTCTCTGAAGCTCACATTTGTCATGTTCTCCCCCTCCAATTGTGCGATTGTTTTCTTTCCTCAGATCGGTTTCCTAGTTGTTCAAAATGATTTGATGTTTATCTAGCTGTGTCCCAGGGTCCCCCTACTATTCCGCCATCTTAACTCCTCCCCCATCCCAAAATTTTAAATATTTTACTCTACTCTCTTCTTGCTTGCATGGTTTCAGAAGAGAAGTATGATACAATTCTTAACCTTTATCCCTTTAAGTAAGGTCTTTCCCCCCTGACTTCTGTTAAGATTTTGTCTTTGATTTTCTATAGTTTGAATGATATGCCTAGGATAGGGTTTTTTGTTTTTGTTTTTTTTAAATATTTAGCCTGCTTAGAATTCTGTGAGCTTCCTGAATTTGTGGTTTGGTGTTTATTAATAATTTTGGAAATTTCTCAGTTGTTAATAACTTTGAATATTTCTTCTGTTCTTTCTTCTTTGGTATTGCCATTATGTGCATGTTACAATTTTTGTCCCACACTTCTTGGACCTTGTTTTTTTTCCAGTCTTTCTTTTTTGCAGTTTGAGAAATCTCAATTAACATGTCTTCAAGCTCACTGATTATTTCTTCGGCCCAGAGCATTATTCTAATGAGCCCGTCAAAGGCATTCTTCATTTCTATTATAGTGTTTTTTATTTCTAGCATTTCTTTTTGATTCTAAGAGTTCCCCCATCTCTGCTTACATTACCTATCTGTTGTTATATGTTGTGTACTTTTCTATTAGAGCACTTAGTTATATTAATCATGGTTATTTTAAATTCTGGTCTGCTAACTCCAAAATCTTTGCTATATTTGGATCTGGTTCTGATGCTTGCTTTGTCTCTTCAGAAGGCCTTTTGCCTTTTAGCATGTCAACTGAGTTGTCTGAGAGCCAGATAAGATCTATTAGGTAAATATTACTTAAGGAGATAGGTTTTAAGTGTGAGGTTCTATGTTTATCTGGATAACATTAGGATGAGTTTACTATCTGCTATAGTTGTAGGTGTCAGAGGCTTTTAAACATTTCCTCTGGTGTCCTTGTTTTTGTCTCTTCTGTTGTTTTCATTTCCCTAGAGACTCCTTCATATATAAGGTCGGAGAAGTGCAGTTCTTTCTGTTGTATCCCCCTTAGGAGCCTTCCTAATGTGTGGTGAGGTGCAGGGGGAGGAGAAGTGTTTTATAATCTTATGATTAGGTCTCAGTCTGTTAGTAAGCCTGTATCCCAGGATTGTGAGCCTCACAAGTGCTTTCAGTTTTTTGTTTTCCTTCATAAGTGAGACGGGAAGGCTAGAGGGGGCCAGAGTTGGGTATTTCCATTCCCCCAGGTTGGTTAGACTTTGGTAAAAGCTTCCTGTGCAGGCCTTTGCTAAGGAGAACAGAATGCTCTGGAAGTATTTAAAAATGATTACTTTTCCCCTCCCCTTGAGGGAAGATTTCTCTCAGATCTTCACTGTGAGAACCTGGTGGGGCTCCTCTAGGTAAAACTCACAAAAGTACATGAGACCGTCATGGCTGCGTCTTCACAAGTTTTTATCTCTCAAGCTAGCCCATGCTCAGATTCTAGCAATTAGCCAAATCACTCTTTAAATGTTCCCACCAGATGCTGGCTGCCATGGTGGTTTCCAAGTAGTTTCTCCTCTGGGTAAGCTCTGCTTCTCTGTATCTGCCCATCTCCAGTTTTCATGTTCCTATGCCTTATGGTCTCAATTCTCTGATGGATCAAAGAAGAGCTGCTGACTTTCAGTTTTTCAGCTTTTTTCTTGCTGTGAGGTCAGGAGTGACGATGTTTAAGCTCTTTACATGTTGGAAAGTAAACTACCTTAAAAAAAATCTTTTTGATCTCTCCAGTTATTTACTTAGACTAATTAGTTCTCTAGAAGTGAACTTACTGCACAAAGTAAGTACATACTTTAAGGGTTTTGATACATACTGCCAAACTTCCCTCCAAAGAGGTATCAAAATAACCTATATTTATTTTTCTGCTCATAAACCTTCACTGCTCCCTCACTGGTCAAAGATGATGTCCACTCATCTCTACCAAATACACAAGCCTCTGATGGTTGCACAGGGTTACCGAAAGGCCCTGTACAATATGACCCTTATCTGTTTTGCAATTTGATCTGTCACTACTCCCTAACACAATTCTTTGGTTTTAGTGTTTGGTGAACTTACTGTGTAGAGCATGCCATAATCATTCATTTTGTTTTTATTCAAGTCATCTCTCAATATTGAAAATGCCTTCCCAAGTCTTCATAGTCTTTTTCAACTCAATTTACACTAGCCCTTATCAGTTGTCCCACATATAGCTACCTACAGGGCAGTACTTCCAGCACCTGACAGGTGTGAGGAAGGCAAGAAGTTTTCAGAGAACACTTTTATAATAGAGGGCACAGAGGATGGGGCTGTATTTACTCTCTGCAAAGAAAAAGGGACTAGTTTAGGTAATACAACTAAGAATTTCTAATATCATTTGGAATCATTAAAAGTTGATGGTTTACGAAATAAAATGACATAATTATAGCTTTTGGATTTTTGCTTCTCATTGCTCTAATCTGGTTTCATTCTTTGCCCAATTTAAAACATTAATACTACCAAAAACTAATATCCTAGATAAATTAATTATTCTATTAACATATTTAGTGACATTAAAAACTTACCTGTTTTCCCTTTGGCTCTTTAGAAAAACCCATAAAAAACAACTATTTCTTAGATAAATACATAAAATGTTTAACTACACTTGTGTCATGAAGAATGTAAAGTCTAAATAATAAGCAAATGCATGGTACAAAGAATTATAATTAAAATGAAGAAAAGCTGTTACCAATTCTGGAAAATAGAAGTTTTTCAGCCTTAATGTTTGATTTCTAAAAAAAAAAAAAAAAAACCTTAAAAAACTTAAAAATGCAAAAAACAACTTACGTTCCATTTGGTCAAACATTACTGAAAAGAGGAAGTCTCGTGGTGTCATATAATATTCTCCTTCATGTTCCAGTGAAGAAAACTGCATGAAGCGCTGTTTACGAAGCGACAATTTTTCTCCCATCCCTCCAGAGTCAACATTTTCCTAAAAGAAAAAGAAATTGCAATTTAAGACTTTTTTCAGTATGATTCCCCAACTTAGCTACTTCTAGAATAATCTTTACAGAGTAGTTTTAGTGTTTAGTCTAACAATCTCCAAATTTTTCAAACATTCATTTAATATTTACTTGACTGTCTTACTTGCCACTCTTTCAAGCATGAAGATAAAACAGTGAATGATACTAACTTGAAGGAATTTCCATTCGAGTGGAATTAATTCATTAACAATTAATGAATACATATAGAAAATAAGGTGAGATAATAAGAAGTACCACAAAGAAATATTAAGCAGGATAAGAAAGTCATAAGGAGTAGTATCTTAGATAAGATACTCAGGGGAGGCCTTCCTAAAGAGATGACATTTAAAGAGACTAAATGAGGTGCAGTTAGTGAGCCCTGGGGCTCTCTGGAGGAAAAGCATCCTAAGCAAGAGGAAAAGTAAATCAAAGACCATGAGATTCCTCTGTGTGTGTGTTTCTAGGTAAGCCTGGTGTCTTCAAGGAGCAGTGTGGCAGAAGATCAGATCAGAGAGAAAAGTAGAGGCAATGGGGTGCCTGGGTGGCTCAGATGGTTGGGCGTCTGTCTTTGGCTCAGGTCACGATCCCAGGGTTCTGGGATGGAGCCCGGCATCAGACTTCCTGCTTGGCAGGGAGCCTGCTTCTCCCTCTCCCTCTACTGTTCCCCCTGCTTGTGCTCTCTCGCTCTCTGTGTCAAATCAATCAATCAATCAATCAAATCTTTAAAAAAAAAGGTAGAGGCAAAAGATCAAGTAAAGTTGTGCTTTTTCACAAAGATAAAATATATCATGTCTGATAAATAGCTCTGCTTTCAGAAATATATTTACATCATGGGTGGAGAGTGCTAAAAGGACAAGAACTGGTAAAATATTGTCAGTGTAAGAGTCTGGATATCTCAGGCAATGGCACCTAGACCTTGACTCAACGCTGATATAAACAATATTGAAATCTTTATTGCTAACCTTTTGTTGAGCACTTACTATGTGCTAGGGACTATACTAATAAAGCACTCTACATGAATTATTTAGTTAGTCCTCACAATAACTGAACAACAGATACTAAAGTAGATATGGCAACTAAAGGAAAGGGCACAGCCAGGATAAAAAACCAGGGGTGTCCAACTCAAAGTGTTTCAATCCCTTAACTACCACACTAACCTCCTATCCGTGGCTGGGCACTGTATCCTAGGCAAACTGGAAGAACACAACAGTTAACGTAAACACCAATGTCAATATAGCAATGTTGACACAAATGCGAGTATTATCTGTGAAATCCAAAAGCACATTCTCACCTTGGATTGCTTTCCTTAAAGCACTTCTCTGACCTGGACCACAACATCCTTCCTGGACACATACTTCCTTTTCACACTTAGTGCTACTGAACCTATTATTTACCCTGACACACAGTAATGTTCACTGACTAGAATTAAAATGGGGGAAAAAATGTGAATTCCAGTTGCTTAAACCTCTGCATATTCAAAGCCAACAAAATTCGAAGCCAACAAAATTCAAAGTTAACAGCTCCTTTTTGGCTGATCTTGGTTTCCTGACTAGTATTAATTCTCTCTCCTTATTTTGACAATTGCTTTCCTTGAGCAGCTAGTTGTATGCCTCTTTTGTGTTCTACACAGTGCATGCCAGAATACTGGACATATATTGAATACTCAATAATACTGGAATGATCTGAACCCGTATCTTCTTCAGAACCTGTCTATTCATGTCTTTCCTTTTCTTTCCCCTTAAATTACTACTATAAAAATGACTTGAGGCATGCTTTGATTACATGAGTCCATACTCTTACATAATAATCAGAAAATTGAATTTTCTTAATACTCTGAACATTTTATACATGAGGCAGATACAGTAACAGATATATTATTATTTTATTTAACAAACTGATACTGAGTATATGCAGGAAAACAGTGGTAAACAAGACAAACATTAACTCCTACCAGAACACACTGAGTGTTTTGGCAATGAAATTATAGAAAGTATACAAATGAGATAGGGAAGGGAGGGTGGGTAAGAGTCTTCTCAGTAAATGTCACAGCACTGTCAAAGTCCTAGATATGAGAGAGAATACAGTGTATTAGAAGAACTGAAAGAAGCTGAGTAAGGATATATGCATTATTAACTTAGAGAACAATTCTATTTAAAATACTAAAACTAATATATAGTCTATTAAGAGATTAACAAAAGTAACTAACCCACATAGAAATGTATTTCCAAATCCCTAAACAAATGCTGTCTTTCTTTATACTTCCTAATATCTAAGTTGTTCCTGACTGATTAAAAGAGTACCTTTTTATCCAACTCAATCCTTTTTGTGTAAATAAACTCTTCAAATTTCAACCAACTAAAAGGAGTCAATTACTCATTTATTCTCCTCCTCAAATGGTCTCATAGCAGGACGGACTATTGTTAACTCTGCCTCTCTTTGTTTTCACGTTGTCCTCCATCTTGCAGCAGTCCTACTCTTTCCTGGTATATTGAAAATGACCAAGAAGTAAAAACACAAACCTCCCACTCTTTTATAGCAAGACATGAAAACTATTTTCAAAGAAATCCTATTTTTTTCTTTTAGGAGATTTGGACCCTAAAAATCCCCCTATCTCATGATTACCAGTTTCCATATGCCTGTATGTCTGTAACTTGCACAAGCATGACATCTCTGAAGAATCTTGAGAAGAATCAATTATTCTGGGAAGTGCCATTTTAAATAATGGTTGGTTGGGTTGTCATTCCTTCCAATTTTGGTTAAATATCCTCTCTTGTGAACAAGAAAAAGTAGTGGAGGTAAAACGAAAACTCCCTTTCAAGGGCTGATTTCTGACCTTAAAGTTGTCATCCGAATTACAGGCCAGATTTAAATTCTAAATCCGAATTTAGAAGGTCACTTATAAACAAATGACCTCCAAAACAAATCTGTCCTACCACCATGACTCCATTAGTAGATGGTGTGATTTACAAACATCTAACAACCCCTACAACATCCTCACAATTCAATCTGGTATTGTGGCCTTTAATTCCTGTTACTTCATGGTATAAACAGACTATTCTCCTACCCCCAAATCTTTTAACTCCCATGCCAGCACAAATAATGTCTCTCTTTTTTCTTAATCCTTTCTATTATCTCTCACACTCTGCTTATTGAGTACCCAGCTATCACCTGGGGTCAACACCACTGTAGATTCTAATCCTACCACTTCTCTTATTGAATATAAAGTAGAAGCCCCCAAGTTACAATCTCTTACACTAGTCTTTCCCTGCATCCTCCTCCACCCTTCAAGTAAATACTTAACTGAGCATCTACTAACTTGAGGACACTCTAGGAAGAGACAGAACACATATCAATCAAGACAGCAATAGGACAGTAGTTAATCCTGACAATAATAGCTAATGTTAATTAAACATGTAGTATATGCAAGGCAAGTGCTAATATCTTTACATACATGGTCTCACTCCACCTTCACAATAACTTGAGACATCATCTTTATCAACCTCATATTTCAAAAGAAGAAACCAAGGCTTGTCAAGGTTTACCAGCTTGCCTAGATTAACACAGCCAGTAAGCTGACAGCATAGGTGGTATGACAACCCCAGGCTCAACCACTATCCTATACTAGCTCCTCTAAGAATTATATAAACTAGGAAAACAAAGAAAGCAGTGTGGGTAATGATGGCTGAGGAAGCTCATGAAAACAGTGGGATTTAAGCTAGGCTCTAGAGAATAAAAATGACTACAACAAGAATTAGCCATCTTTTAGGCCTAGGCTAACTGTTGTCCACTTCCTAAATGGTATGTATTACTGCTCTTGTTCAATCAAACTTAAAGTAAGTAGGATTTCTAATATGTTTCTTCGCTACAATAAAATTTTTGTAGAGGGGAAAATATTGTTTTAAAGCTAGAGCTAGAGCTAATTGCTAGAGCTTTTGTAATTCCAAGCTGATGAATCAACAAATCAGTTTTATTTAGGTCACCTTTATCATAGTTGAAATTTAAGTTTATTTATTTATTTCTTTAGTAATCTCTACACCCAACATGGGGCTTGACCTCATGACCCTGAGATCAAGAGTCGCATGCTCCTCTGACCAAGCCAACCAGGTGTCCCAGTAGTTGAGTTTTAAAGTACATTTTAAAAGAGCACTATTATAATTGATGTGCAATATATATTTATGCTTACTTCATAGAATTTAGACAATTTACCATTTTTATTGAAGTATAAACATGACACGTAATGTTACATTTAATATGCCATTTTTATTATTTTATTTCTGCCTTACTTCATTTGTATAACCATTCTGATAAAATCTCAGACTTACTGGATGGATTTAATTGTCAAGAATTAACAATTTTCCCTTCCTCCCCAACCCTTTCTTTCATCTCTGCTTTTCCTACTCACATGCTTGCATGCTCTCTCTTTTCTCACCTTCCCTTCCTTTCTCTCCTTCCCTTGCATGTTTTAGGTGGCTTTAGTTTATTTATTTTAAAAAATTTTAACTTAAGTAATCTCTACACCCAACATGGGGCTCAAAATTAAAACCTCAAGATCAAGAGTTGCATGCTCTACCGACTGAACCAGCCAGGCGCCCAAAAACCAGGAGTTTTCAGGGGGCTTTTAAAAAATTGTTAGCTGCTGTTCTCACATTCCTTGAACTATTATTGTTATTATTGTTATTGATATTTTTGTGGGTACTCATTTCCTTTAATCGCCACTCATTTTCTTTAGTCTCTTTCTCACTTTGGTATATGTGTGGCCTATCTGTGGTAGGTTGGGCTTGACAAACTGAACTAAGGCAAAGACAATGGCTTGTAGACTTTGGTGAGTGTAGTTAGAATATCAGTTTGGATGGAGACAATGAGGAGGAATAAAAAAGGTCAAAATATTAAAGTTATATCTGAGAGTAGTGATCTACGAGCAAATCCTAGCTTATCTGTATTGTTACCTATCAGGCAGTGAAAAGTTCAT